TTCTTCCATTATTCTTTGATTTTCTTCCATTATTCTGCGATCTTCTTTTCTATTTTCTTCCATTATTCTTCGATTTTCTTTTCTATTTTCTTCCATTATTCTTTGATTTTCGCTCAACATTTTCATCATTTTTGTCAGTTGTTCCTCCATGTTGGCTGTTTGCGCTCTTGTGGTAGTCGGCATAAAATTTTCTTCTAGAAACTTCTAGAGTCTTGACAGATGTCAATTCTCGAAGCCAATGTCAGGTGATGAAAGTTTAATTCCGTTATTCCACTCTTACCGCGGGAGAGAATTTTCTCGAAAGTTCACTTTGTTCCGGTCTCCCCTAGTAGCACCAACCAAATTTGAATCCCGATTTATTTCACTATTAATCCCACTCCTGACACCAGTGTTACGATTGACGGGCGAATAATAAATCGGGCGTTGGTAAAACTCAAAATATTTATTTCTTTAGCTCGAATTACAACACTATCTATTGCAACGAATATGTACAGAAATTAATCCGGCGCTCTTGACTGTCTTCACTCGATGATTGAATCTCATTACCTACGGTCGCCTCTATTTAAACTCATAGTCTCTGATCGAGATCCTTCACGAACATCCATCGCGACTCCGCTTCGAGACTCCCCTGGACGCCGCTTCGAGACGCTCCAGACCTGTCTTTATGCGCCCGCCTCTCGGCCGTCAACAGCGATGATTCACCCATCAGCGCCGTGCGTACGTCCAGAAGGCTCTCGACCGCCATAGGCGTCGTACTGGGGCGGCATAAGGATGTATTTCGTAACAATACTTTATACAACGTTTTGGCAATTTCGCGCAGAATGCTGCTAATTGGAGCCGGCAAGCGTGGACTGAGGCCGTTGAAGTGAAAATATTGTGTCGTTTTTCAGCCTTCCTTAGTTTACTTTGTATATTGATGTCATTACTTCGTTATAATGTCTGCTACACGTTCCACTGAATTTCTAACAATTCAGTATAAAAATACATTAAGTTAATTCATGTTTGGATTTGGATATGCGTTGGGTCAGGCTAAACTGAGGTTCATTTGCAAGAGATTAGGTAAGTAATAAACGCGTCACATCTGAAATATTGTATTTTAATAAGAAAAAAAACGTCAAGATCATAAATCTGGAAAAAAATGGGAATTAAACAAAATTTTCCAAAAAAAAAATGATCATGATACTTCAAGGACGTCAATAACGGGTATTTCACTCAAGAATCTAAGACTGTTACCATTCTTCTGGGCATGTCATGATTTAAATTGTCTATTTTTTCTTGTGGGATATTGTAGGACATACGTATTCCTCCCATTCCTCTAAAAGCACATCTAACGTGCGGGGTGCGTAAATATTGCCCCTTAGGTCCCGGCCCTGTGAAGGGCCTGTTCGGAGATGAAAAGGATAACACATAATAAAAATAAAATTAGGACGGTGACAGAGCTTAATCAAGACAACGAGATAATGGCTTAAAGCAACTTATTCTTTACAAAGACTAAAAAGATTGTGCTTGGTTAAAGAGAACAATAAATATACGAGGAGATATTGTGATTAGTGATAACCCAAACATTCTGCCAAAATTTATAACAATATATAAACAATCCTATGAATGAAAGGAAAATTATCACTCTGGACTTGGACCGAGCTCCGCTGTCGCCACTCAAATTAAGTAAAGCAAAATTAATGAATATGGACTAGGTATATACATATATAAAACACATGTTAAATATGGTCGAAAACACAAAATGTCGTTCGGTACACACGTCGCTTTGAGAGGCGTATCCGAGTATAAAGGTTCCAAAATTGAAGTCATAGAATACATAAAACAACACAAAATCAGCATAAAATCCCGTTTTCCTCTTCCAAATCACGACGACATTTACTTCACTGGTAATTTTCAAAGAGAGTCAATGCTCCAGATTAAATCGTGAATACTATTTAATACCAACTACGATTTTAAAATTTCCAAATGAGAATTTATTCAATTTAAATAGTTAGGAAAAACCATCCATCCCTTAGACATTTCACACGTTAAAATATTACCTCTTTCAACACAATAAAATTGCTTATTTTTTCGGTGTCATACAAGAAAAATAAAATGTATAATTTCGGAAGATTGCCTGAAATAAAATAACAATTTTTTATGATTGTTAAACTGTGTTAGAACCAGGAACGGTTAAAAATTCTAACATAAACGGTGAATTTACAATTAATCAACAAATTCACACCATATGGTAAGAACATGGTCAAAAATTCACACATTTCCTCGTCGCCGTCGGTTTAAACAAAAGCTATTTTATGAAACTACCAAATCAATCTGATTAATTTTAAAAGAATTCGAGCTGAATTGAAGCGTGACATTAAACTATCGTATGCCAATTATATTCACAATTTGGAAATTAATATTAACTCGGATCCTCGCAAGTTTTGGGCTCATGTCAATAATATTAAAAAACGTTCGGGGATTCCTTCTCAAATGAGCTATCTAAACACATCTCTGTTGAATCCTCAAGACATTGTAAACGCCTTCGCCGAACACTTTAGTGACAGTTATTCTAATCTAGCACATGTTGATTTTAATAGTCTTGACGAAGATCTCAGCAATATTCCAGTTTTTGTCTCTGTTATTGATGAATCCGATGTATTAGAAGCATTGAAAAACATTAAGTCTAATTCTACGTGCGGTCATGACGATATTCCGGGTTTTCTTCTTTCAGACTGTGCTACTGCATTTTCTCGGCCTTTGACCATTCTATTTAATTTAATACTCAAATCTTCCTCCTTTCCTAATTTCTGGAAACTTTCTTTAATTACACCCATTTTTAAAAAAGGCAATACTCAATTGATTATAAATTATCGTCCTATCTCTTTACTCTGTAATTTTTCCAAAGTCTTCGAGTCTATTCTTCATAAATTCATACAATTTCAAGTACGCAATCGTTTATCGCACACGCAACATGGTTTTATTAATGGCCGCTCTACAGTCACCAACTTGTGCTGTTTTACTCAATTTGTATCTGATAGCTTTGATGCTAAACGACAGGTGGATGTGGTGTACACCGACTTTTCTAAGGCCTTCGACCAGCTTAATCATAATATTTTACTGTCCAAATTAAGTAGCATCGGTTTTTCTGCAAATTTAATTAAGCTTTTTAGGTCGTATTTGTCCGGTAGATCTCAGCGTGTGACATTTCATGGTTTTGAATCCGATCGAATTATTGTTACTTCTGGCGTTCCGCAAGGTTCTATTCTCGGACCATTACTTTTTGCAATCTTTATTAATGATATTACCAAAAATCTGAGTTCAAACGTGTTGATGTATGCAGATGATTTAAAGATTTTCCGACGCATTAATAACTTCGAAGACTGCCTAGAACTTCAAGATGATATCGACAAATTTCAAAATTGGAGTATATACAATCTCCTTCCCGTAAACGCTAGAAAATGTTACGTTATGTCCTTGACCAATAAAACTTCTAAAGTTTTGTATTTATACTCGATGTTTTCTTCCAGTTTGTCTCGAGTTGATTCATTTAAAGACCTTGGTGTCACGTTTGACTCTTCACTTTCATTTGCCCCACACGTTTCCTTTATAGTGTCTGAAGCCGTTAAATGTCTGGGGTTCATTATAAGATCTAGTGGTTGTTTCAGTAATGGTACTACTTTAAAAAGACTTTATGTTGCCTTCGTCAGATCTAAATTGGAATATGCTAGTGTGGTTTGGGCCCCCGCAACTCAAATTCATATCCAGGCACTTGAAAAAATTCAAAGAAGATTCTTGAAATTTGTATCCTTCAAATTAGATGGCGTTTACCCACCCAGAGGAATTCCGCAAAATGTTCTTCTTGAAAGATTCGGCCTCATCGATCTGGATAGAAGACGCACTAACGCGTCTTTGTGTTTCTTAAAGAAAATTTTTAATCATCAAATTGACTGTCCTCAACTCCTTAGCCAACTTTACATCAGCATACCAAGACCATCCTTTCGTCCTGAGAATTATCAATTTTTCTATCTTCCAACGCCACGTATTGACATCCAGAAAAACTCACCGTTATACCGGATGTGCGCTAACTATAACGAGCATAACGATTCCTTCAGATTGTGTTAAACAAACCTATCTTCTATGAGAAGCAGTGGTAATTGTTGCCGCCTGTAATTTAGGTAACTATTTTTTTTTTTTTTTCTTTTTCAATCTGTACTAGTTGGTCTGTAATTGGGCTTCAAGTCTGTTGACCAACTTCATTCAAAGTGTTTGGACGTAAATTCCTGGTTATTCACAGAGCCGAGCTCCAATGTCGCGCGCGAGGAGCCGGTCAAATTTGTTTCCAGCCTCGGCTGTGAAAGTGTGTCGCTTAAGTCAATAATAATAATAATAATAATAATAGCCATGACGATATACAACGCTCTAGGCCCGTGCCATTATTACACATCTTAGCAGGTGAAGGGGGTACACCGGCCTAAGAGTTTAATGGCTTTATAGTGATTCTACTCATATTCAGATGGCGATGAAGTTGGTAAGTCAGAAATGGCATAACACAATTTGTGTGTGTCTCAGCTAGTCTCTTAGGCCCGAATATTCTCTAGCCCCGTGGAACGTTTATGTGTTATCCTGACTGTGTTGAAAAATTTACCAGGATGTCTACTTGGACATTGACAACTCCACCATCATATTATAATTAACATTTATACAAAATATTGTAAACATGAAAGCTTGAATAAATCTATTTGATTTAAAATTCGGAAATTGATATGTTTTCATGTAATTAAACGAAAAATTGAGCAAGGTTGGTTGCATACTACATTCGCAATGATTTGCAACACTTACAACAGAACACAGCGGCTTTACAATTAAGCTTTCATCTTGAGAACAGCAATGCAAATCTTAAGTTTTATATTTTCGTTTATTTAGTCTCGAATTCAACGGTTTTGCAATTCTGCATTCCTGTTTGCAGAAAGCAATTACTTGCACGTTTGTGTTTACTCTCGAGTTAAAAATACGAGCTGTGAATTTAAGACATTTTTTATTATATTATAAAATTTAATACAATATTAACATGTAAAGTCAGTGTTTAAAATTACAAAAATATCAAAAATTATCACAACTTGTAAACAAAACAAAAAAAAAAACAAAAGAGACAGCTGATCCACTAGTTTCATCTTCGCTTAGTTCTCTGATACTGGATCCAGTTGTACACGTCTCGACCACTGCGATCAGAGAAGAGCTGGTTCGTTTCAACAAATTCTGCACACAGCTTCGGTGGTGCCAAATGACCCCTGGATATGTATTGCGAAAAATGTCTCTGCATTAAAGACATTTGCTCTGAGGTGAATGGTTTCTTTCCTCTTCTCTTTACAGGAGTTATTTGCAATTTCTGCTTTATCTCCGCGATTGTCGTTTTTCTTGGTGATTTCTGCGATTTTGGTGACTTCGTGTTCAAAGTTCCCCTGTGACTCGATATTTTTTTCTTTGGTGTTTCAATCCTCCGGTCTTCAGTACTGGCTCTCGCTATAAAAAATATCAGCAATGATATACAATTTTCTAGACTTTTCAGCATACGTACCCCCTACTTTTTCAGAAAGCGCTTCTTGTGTAGTATGTGTAACTTTGTCACACTTTCGACGATCCGAAGGCACTTCAGTAATATTGTCTGTAGTATAACATTCTATCACACCTGATTGTGAGACTTGAGTGTCTGTTGATACCTCCTGCATGAGGTTCGTTTCCATTCTGTTGATTGTACTTTCTGTTGAACAGGTAGTTTCAAACGAATCCAAACTGAGATTGTCTCCTAATAATTCTTCAGAGGTAATATGATCGTCTAACGCCGGATCCTCTTCAGGTACTGGTAAATCTTGTGCAATAGTGAGTATTTCGTCGAGACTTTTACCTCTGTATGAAAAGAGTTCTTCTCCATCTACGATAGTCAAAAATTTTGCCCACCCTGTTAGTTGAAATAAAAGTTCGTCTTGTCGATATACTTGTTCATGGACTTTCTGACTATGACCCATCAATTTTGCAATCTGACCGATTTCATTGTCATTCATTGTTAACAATTGGGAAAGGGTTGCGACTTGTTTTCTTAAATAAGTGGAACGTAAAAGATGCGGTTCTTCAGCACCACATTTCTCTGAGTAATCTCTTAAAACAACTGAAGCATCGATAAACATCGCTCTCGTAGGTATACCAAAAAGGTAATTGTTTGAATAGGGAACACCAGCTTCTTTTCGATATTGGAGAAACATATCTAGATACCTACAACACAATCAAAAATCTTTTAAAAAGTAGAAAAATCAAAGTACTCATTTACCTGCATTGATTTTCGTCCAACAGCACATGTAATATATGTAGACGCTTTCCAATCAAAGTCATAACTTTGTATTTATTCGCTAACTCCCGTTGATACATTGGAAGGGATTGAAGTATTTCATCATCAAGTTCGATTTTTTTGTTATACAATTCCAACGACATACTTGCAACTTCACTGACTCTACGTCTATTGTACACAATAACTCTTGCCAACGCAGCCTTTCCTAATTTTAGCCATGTGTCGAAATCGAAACCGTCCTGTAACCGTTGATACGCCTGCTCCGCTTCAGAAACTATCAATGTGGAAAATAATTTAACGTCCTTTGCCTTTGGTAAATTATGTAATTTGGCTGCTTTTCTTTGCAAGCTGGTTCGACCAGCTGACCTGCCAACATAGATTCCATAGTTTTTATCATGGAGTTTTGAAATTGTCGAAACGGCCACGCTCTTCACATTGTGTGGGAAGATTATGAGTTAAATAATCAACGTTAAGTGCGTCTAAAAGAAATGTAATACTCGATCGTAAAGCTTTTGCCAGACTTGGCTTTCCAAACTCGCCTGTTTCCTTGTCAAGTGAACACAAATTGAAAACTCCCTCTAGTAAGGCATCATAACCTCCATAGAGTATCAGATCTTCAAAATCCAGAATGGAGGGGTTTATGTCTTTAACATCTAAAATCAATCGTGCCATTCTACGCAAATGTTGGCGATCGTTCTTTAATGCGCTGTATGAACCACGATGCATTAAGGAATATCTTTCAGCAACAAGTTTCAAACATTTATCTTCTAATATCTCGTGTAGAATTAGCCCAACTTGAACAGGCTCTAAGAAAGCGAGAAAAAGTTTCTGACTGAAAGAATTCGCTGTAAATTCCTTCTGGATAATCTTAAAGCGAGCTTCTTTAAGCACATTTCTTCTATTTGGTGGCCGTCCAGTACATTTGCGTTCATGTCGAGCAAAGTTTCTGGTCATTATTTCACCAAAACAATTTGGGCAAGTAATTAAATTGGAGGCTTGTCCTGTCACTACTCTCCTTATAGCAATTTTTTCCTCACAGGTGGCATTTTTGTTAAAATTATAATCACCCTTTCGCCTGATCTCTCGTAACGCAGCATTCCGTTCCACACTATTAGCTTTCATAGTCATAATATTTTTCACTTCTTCCTGATCTTTGTGTTTTCGAAGAATATGTATGTGAAGACATTTCAACAAAAAACTGTTCACAGAAATAACAACAATGGCGTTTTCCTTTGGTTTTTGACGTTAATGGGTTTACTAGGGCAGAAGAACCACAATCCATAATTAACGGTGTTATGAACTTACGTTCCTCTTCAATCGGCAGTTCCTCCCCTATTAATTTTCCGACGGGGAGACAGTAACGAACTTTCACTTGGATTTCACGTTCGCCAAAATTTCTAGACAGCAGCACAAGTGTTCTGTTTTTGTCGGAAAGTTTATTACCTACAACAAAAATTAAACTTCGATTTGCATTTTTTTGTTACTATACATACATTTATGGTCTGTCGCGGGCAAACCAGAATACAAAAATCCGCTGATGGTATTGTCATCTCCACTGCAAGCATCACAAACGTAATGCCCTTCATGTAAAACGGTGTGTATCTTCATTGAAACGAAACATTTCTTTATATAAATGGTCAAATGAGCGGAAATCCTGCAGTTTGATTCTTCAACAGGCGAAACCAATGGCGTAAACATCAAGTCAAAGTCTTCATTGCGGTTCGAGGTAGTGGGCATTGAAGAACTACTTGAACTTTGTCCTTCTATAAATATTTGAAAAATTATTAGAACATTATAAACGACTAATATTAGGTATAACGTAAGTTGTAAAAATCTCTACAGATGAGAGTAACTTACTTTTCAAATGGCATTGCATACATTATTTATTGGGTTGTTCCAGAGAATTATACAGGGTTAGTATAAAGTCCCGAAACGTTTGAATAACTTTGTTATTTGAAAAGTTTTTTTTTCTGAAATTTGCTTTGGATGTATAATTAAACATGGCAACTTTAATGGAACACCCAGATGTTGTTTCACTAGAAATAAACAAGTTGATAATTTCTGAAATTAGTTTTTTATTCTGCATCAGAAAATGCCAAAAAAACCTGTATGTTGTAATCAATGCAATCAATGTTGTAGGTATATATCCAAAAAAAATTTCAGCAAAAAACTTTTCAAATAAAGTTATTCGCCCGTTCCGGGACTTTATACTAACCCTGTATATTAAAATATACTACATTTAGGTATCAGGCATAGCTAGAAAAAATTTTTCTAGTTATTTAAAAAAAAAAGTTTTGGTATGCCAAAAGTCTTATTTGCAACTTACATAACACCCGATTGGTGGTTTGGAGTTTAACATTTGAGTTAAGAAAAGATTTTTCAGATGGACGAATAAAAATATGTGATGGATGTGTGTAAGTTGTTTGTTTTCAAAAATGTGTAATATTGGTTTATGTTTATGCACGAAAGTATATTGGAAATAGCATATGTATAATGTATAGGTAATTAGTGTTACATGTGTTATGTAAGTTACGTTTATTATGTTAAGTTAGGTACTAATCATTTTTATAGCATCTTTGGAAATGTTAGCAAGAAAGCTAACGAAAAAAAATTGACATTTTAATAAAATTGATCAGAATCCGAGAAAATAGAAACCTGAGTTTAAGACAAGAGTAAAAAAATCTAAGTCGGCCATTAAAAAGACGTTTTGGATTTTTTTTACAAAAAGCCTGAATATTTCGTAATTATAATTACTTAATGAAATACCTACCTCCTTCAAACAATCTTTTCTTGCAAGTCTGTAACTGAGACTTCGTGTGCTCAGATGTTTCGCCATTTTCATCGCTTTCTTCTGACACTTCAGAAGTTGGCTCATATTCTTCGTCGGTAGCATTACTTTGGAAAGGTTCTTCGTCGCTGTCACTTATCTCGTATCGGCTGCAGGGTACGTATTCGAAAACGATCTCTTCTATTGGTCGCACCAAATCAACTTGCCAACATTCTGTGTCCTCTAAATGTTGTTTTGCCAATTTCAAAACATTCAGATCTATAGAAGAAGATTGACATGAAATAGATTGATTATAAAGAGTAGAAATGAGTTACCTGAACTACTCATTATAACATTGTCCAGCATCCTTTTTTTGAGTGTTTTATGCCATATTTGAAAGATTTTAGGAGTTCCCTCTGAATATGTCAGGTGATGGGTAAGACGTTTTTTTTTTCTGAAAAATAAGTGATGAACTCGTTAAGACCATAACACAAACACTGGTTCTAAAATTTCTTGGGCGAAACGAAAAAGAAAAAATGCGAAAACATGACAATTTTTTGCTTTGAGCCAGATACACCTTGCCACATATTGGTGTATCGAACTTTTGAAATATCGTGTTTTAATTTTTTTGTTTTGAAGCAAGAAAACAAAATTCCCGTTTTGTTTCTATTTTGAAACCGGAAAACGGGTTTTTCCTGCTTGTTAAGTATTTTTGTTTGAAGCGAATAATTACATAATTATAAGTACCAAATGAAGTTCCAAGATTCCACTACTGATCACAAGCTAAATTTCTAACAATTTTCTACGAAAGCAAAAAGCGAAACTACTTACCAATGCAATCTTTTGACTTCAGTCATTGAAGCGCACAAGGGATCAGGGCAGAAATATAAAACTGTGTCGTCCTCTTCTAAGACCACCACTCTGGCATGAGATAAGCATTGTTCACAAATAACATGCCCGCATGTGACTAAGTAGAAAGACTTACTGGGCAACAATGGCAATCTACAGGAGTGGCATACAATTTTTCCTAATAAAAAAAAGTGAAAAATAAAATGTCAAACACATTTTGTCATAACATACTCATGAGGGGCAACGGATAGTTTTCTTGAGGCTTACAGACTACACATGTTTTTCTTATACAAGTTTCTGTTCTTGTGAGCTCCCTTGTACACATATGATTCTGGATATCTGCTTTATAACTATTTGTTATAACATAGGCTAGCCGACGCAGTTCGATATTAATATTTTGTGAAAAAGGCATCTCCTCACTTTCAACCTGCTCTATTTCCTGCGGAGTTAAATTATGTACCATGATGCACTTTAAACTGCCCAAACATTGGATCTTGTTACATATAATAAATTCATGGCGGTATTTGCACTGAACCCTTCTACATCTCTTCATTAAGAACTCTCTGCAGGGAGTGGGTGTTAAAATTCTAAAAACGAGATCATATAGCACATAAAATTTCAGCGGATCGAACCGATGAGCTACTGAAGCTGATCGATTAAATTGGAGTCAAAGACGAAAAATTAAAAAAAAAAGTACCAATAAAAGAAAGTGGACAACTTCCCTCCTCTATTTGGCCTCTGCATACAGGGCATTGAGGCATATCACGTGCAATCAATTCTCTTAAACAACCTTCGCAAGTACTATGCATACAAGGGTTCAAAATGCACCAAGAGGTCATGCTTATTTCGGAGAAACAGACTGGACAAATAAACTTATCATTTTCTTGTTCCTCTATTGTCCTATGAGTAAATTTGCATTTGCTTCCGTATTTACAGTTGCCGAATTGTTTAAATTCTTGACAAATGCCCGAAATTTGTAATGTTCTCAACGTCTCGTACCTCATGGTGTCGCTTTGATATAGCGTTTCTCTGTACTGGATTTCATCTTTTGAGGACACATGAAGGTATCGACAGTACTCTCTATGACATCTCTCCATTTGAAAGTCCCGACAGAACTTATAGGGATGCTTTAAATTGCACATCGGATCTTTACATTCCCCCTTCGAGAATTTCGTACAATAACTACGACAAAAATAAATACTGAAACTTTGACTTGAAGTGTTGCACTTTAATCAAAATATAATCTAGTGTTGAAAAATTGTGACTTCAAAGAGATTAATTAAAAACTGTTTTCAGGGAACAATTTGAATATACACCGTTTTTTTCGGAGTTGCGTATTTTTTACTTTTATACAGGATGGCAGGTTTGAATTGCCAAACGTTAACGCAAGCTGTATCACTTCAAATCAAGCAAGAAATCATCCTTAAGAAGTTGGGGTCGCAAATGTGCTGTTATCGACCTTGCCAATTTTGCCGTTAGTACTCTTTCTGACCCTGCGTTAATAGATCCTCAAAAGCGTATTTTAATTCGGATTGGAGCAAACTATGGCCCCAACTTCTTAATAATTGTTGGTTTGTTTTGACGTGATAATGCAGCTTGTGTTATCGTTTGACACTTTGTATAACATAAAATTGTAAGTGAATTATTTTAAAATGAAATCAAAACATGCATGTTGAACTTACTATTTCTAAATTTCACGTAAACAATACGTTACTGTACTTTTTATCTTCTGTTAATGGGAAGAATATATCCAATAATTACAAAATTAAAAAAATGCTGATATGTACTTATCATTTTTGTTATTTTTTTGTTCTATATCGCTGCTTTTCTAAATGTGCATGTCCAGAGTTTCCCTCACTTTCAGAGTATTCTAATTTTTTTATTATTACCTATTCGTAGTTTTTTCAAAATACTTTGTAATGAGATATTACAAATTTCGCAGGGCGAGTCATTTACCGCGCGTTCCTTGATGTTTCATCAATTATTAGAAATGATAATTTATTTTTGAAATTCCGATGCCACGTTGGCACGCTATTCCAATTTTCTTCAATTTTTTTGGGAATGAAAGTATTCACAAATAAAATCGCAGCAGGGTTATTTTTTAAATTTGTGTAACAAGATTTTGTGGAAAGACGCGCTTTGTTGTGGTATAAATAAAATTAAATCTTCATGTACATAATGTTTATCAAAAAAATAAGTATTACAATTTTCAAATAACGATATTCCAATTTTTTCAAATACAACATCATGTATTTTATTATCGCATCTCATTCTATTTTTTGTTTTCTTCCCCATTTGTTAAGTATTTTCTATATTTAAAGTTGAGAGTTCCTATGTTTTTTTTTTACTTTTTTAAGAGACATTGACATATTGAAAAAATGAGCACAAAATTAGAATAAGATATCGTAATAAAACACTGTGTGCTAATGGAAAAATATAAATATCCATATTTGTAAATTGTATTAAACTATCAGAACTTTTTTAAA